TCTTGATCTTTTTTCGTTTTAGAGGATTTTTGGATTAAATTAACCGGTTAAATAAAATGAATGAATACTTTACAAAATTTTTTTTGTACGTTCAATATTTCTCTTGATCTTTTTGTGTTTTAGAGTATTTTTGAATTATCTTGACCGGTTAAATAAAACGAATGAATACTTTATAAATTGTTTTACCCGTTCAATATTTATTTTGATCTTTTTGCGTTTTAGAGTATTTTTGGATTAACTTAACCAGTTAAATAAAATAAAGGAGTACTTTACAAATTTTTGTACCTGTTCAATATTTATCTTGATCTTTTTGCGTTTTGGAGTATTTTTGTTTAACTTAACCGGATAAATAATAAAAAATTTGTCAATGATTAAATTAAAATAAAATGAATGAATACATTTTTTTCCCTGTTCAGTGTCCATCTTGATTATTTTGCGTTTTAGAGTATTTTTGGATTAAATTAACCTGTTAAATCCAATTAAAATTAACCCAGTTAAATAAAATGAATGAATACTTTGCAAGTTTTTTTTTTACCTGCTCAATATTTATCTTGATCTTTTTGCATTTTAGAGTATTTTTGGATTAACTTAATCAGTTAAATTAAACCGGTTGAATAAAGTGAATGAATGCTTTACAATTTTTTTTTTTTTTTTTTTTTTTTTTTTTTTACCCGTTCAATGTTTATCTTGATCTTTTTGCGTTTCAAAGTAATTTTTGGATTAACTTCTAATAGTTTTAATAGTAACTATTTGTAATAGTAACCATTTTTTATTTCCACCTTTTTTATTCCCACCAGAGACGAAATTGGGTCTCCCGTCATTGTGAGGTTATGGTATTCAATTTTGTTAATTTAATAAGAAAATCCTAATTAGTGTTTCCTATCTAGTTTTCTGTCTAATCGCAATTTTTGTCTTAGTTATAACAAATACACTGACTTGCTTCATTTTCATTCTTATTCACACAATATGCAGCGCTCGTACGGTGAAATGAAAGAAGTAAATCATGTAAAAATTGTGGAAACCTTACGTTTTGTCTGCCTCCTACACCCCCCCGGCTTCCCGACGTTTGCATGTACGTGAGGGAAATGAGGAAACTAAAAACCTTTTCGTCATTTGTTCCAGTTCGTGGAAAATTTTGTTTCTATGTGTACTTATTTCTCTTCCCCCTTTCCTGCAGTAATAACGCACACAAAAAGGGAGTGGAGACGGTATTCTTTTTTTCGCCACATTTTGCTTTTCGTAACCTTGAGTGAGTTTCAAATGAAAGGGGAAAGAAAAAAAAGAGTAACGCATGCTTGTGCGTTGTAACAATTCGTTTTCTTTTGCCACGGCGTTACATGTGTATATTGATGTTTGTACGCACGTTCTATGTGATTAATGTCTGCAAAAGAAGAAGTTTATGTTATTCCTTTTCAAACTAGGTTTTTAAATTATTTATGCGGCGTAGCCGAACGTGTGAGTAGCAGTTGATTCTGACACAACAGTTGAGTTTTCACACGCACGCCAAAGTTGGGGACAAATGACAAGATCTGATCCTGTGGATAGAAGAACATGGGAATGAAAGTTTCGGGGGTTGCCCATAGGTATGCACGTCAGCTGCTACATGTGCATTTAGAATGCGTTACGCCAGTTTCTTTGGCGTATAAAGCTGTGCAAAAGACGAGTGACGTTTATCTTCCTGTCAGAAGCTTGTTAGTAAAACTCATCTCCGCTAAATGAGCACTTTTATTATTATTTTTAACGGGGGGGGGATATTAGCGACTTTTTACCAGTTTTGTTTTATTAGCAAAATATCATCTCTTAAATTTGCAACATATTTTTGTTCTACATTTTTATTTCCTTGTACGACGTAAAAAGGAAGTATTGTAATCGCGAAAAGCTTCAGGCAGCATATTTCAACGAAAATATCCATTTTGACCGCCTTTCGAATGCAATTTAACGATGTTTTTGCGTGATATCTATACATAAGGACAGAATAAAAGACTCTTTTTCTCCAAAAAAACTAAAAAACTGCTTTAAAATGAATTTTGAAGAGAATTGTTCGTGGCGTCTGTACGAACGTATGTACGTACGTATCTCGCATAACTCTAAAACGAGTAGCCTCAGAACGTTGAAATTTTGTATATACGACTACTATAACATGTAGATGTGCACCTCGTATTTTGGTTTCAATCGGCCGCACCAAACGTATATAAATATAAATATATCCACTCTGTTACCCGGCAGTGATCTCAGTATCTTTACTCTTATATGTTTGTAAATTGTACATTTTTTTTCTTTAAAAATGATTGAATTATGTTGTTTTTATCTTCCGGTTAAGAGTTTTATGCCTTTAGTAAATCTGTATGCAATATTTTTAGAATTATCAACAATTTTAAAATTGTTTAAGTGCCGCTAAGCCTAATTTGGTGGCGGCCATTGCTCTTGTTTGCATTTGAAACAGCTGAGTAGCGGATTTGTTGCCAATCTAAAGAAACTTAGCTTCGGAACAACAAAGATAACGCCTTCATTTATTATTTAAATCATGCTTAATCCTTTCTGGAATTTTTTCGAGGAAATAAGTGTTTAAGATTTACTTCGTAATTTTTAATACAGATATTTGAGTTTTTTATGTATTTTTGCCTTGTCGCGAAGCGAAGTGAGAACTGAATTAATTGAATGAGAAATACCAAATCGTCTGTGAAAAACTGTTTCTTTTTTGTTTTGTTTGCTTAATTTCTTTTATACATCGTTCTAGCTTTATTATAGTATTTGAATAGAACATGTGGCAACGCTTAGATAATTCTTCAAATGACATAAATTTTGTGCATTCTGAGTTATAATATGAACGAAATAGAATACTGTTAAGTAAACCTAGCGCCAGAGTGTCGCTATGGTAAACAAAGTGAATTTTAAAAAATGCATTTATTCTATTGTGGTTTATGCGCTGTCGGCAAAGTAGGTTTAATTCAATCTAATAAGTTTAAATGAAATGCAAGAAAAAATGCGTATAATTTAATATTCCGTACAAGGAAGTCATATGGTGTACACATCAGATTTTTTTATTTATTTTTACATATCTAAGATCGTATATAATTCTTAAACTGTTAAAAATTACAAATGTAACTGTAACAAAAAAAGGTGTTATAAATGGTGATTAAAAAATGTGAAAAATGTGAGCTTAAAATAGTTAGTAATGCAGTATTTATATAGTAGTGCTTTTGACGTGGCATTTTGTATGCAGAAGTGTTTTAATAGTTGTCGTATTATGTATTTGAAAGCTTGTAGAGACCTTAGGTTATTTCGAAGGAGGAGTCATGAAAAATGTGCAGTGCCCTTGCCGGGACTCGAACTTGCACCTCTCGAATACGCGCCGAGTGTGTTAACCGTTACACCAAGAAGGCATACTGAAAGGAGAGCGAAAATGTCTTATATACTTCTCCTTTTAAAAGGCGACTGGGGATTAGGGAACCCAATCGCCAAATCCTGGTAGTGGAGAATCATTATCCACCACCTTTTTTTTTTTTTTTTTTTTTTTTTTTAGTTCGGGCGCCACTGTAGAGACTATAGATGGTTATTTTAAGCAGAGCATGTGAAAAATGAGCAGTGCCCTCGCTGGGACTCGAATACACGCCGAGTGTGCTGAGCATTACACCAAGAAGGCATGCTAAGAAGGTGGGAGAAACACCTTAGAAGCTAAAGCATAGTATGTGATCATGTATTTGGGTAGGCTTCTCTGCTGCGCCATAGTAATGCCACTAATGGAGACGTAGAATGGAACTTCTGTGTGAGTGCAAGGCCCACCAGCGACCGAGCAGTAGCTGAACTCTGGTAGTTCGGTCCGAGATTCGAATCCTGCGAACGGGCTGGCAGGCAGATAGCCCTCGAGGCTTTGCCATAACCACATAAACCAAACCAAACCTATATGAGTGTAATATCCAGTTGTCTTACGCGTATGGACAGATTTGTGTAGTGGGGTTGGTTTTACGTTTTTCTCTTACAATCTTTTACAAATATATAAATATTATAGTGTCCAGAGTCGTTAGGTTCATTTCGGAACTGAAAACGTGAAAAATGAGCAGTGTCCCGGCCCGGATTTGAACTCCAGCCCTCCCGACTGCTAACCAAACGTGTTTCCAATCACACCACAACGGCCATTACAGCATTAAGGAAAGTGGAAATTTCTAACATTCTCTCCCACTTAAATTATGGCTGTGAAAATGGGACTCATTTGAGAAATCCAAGTACTGACGCATTATCATCCACTACACTTTAGTTCGAATGTCACTTGTATTCACTTAGAATTTTTTTACAAGCCGGGAAACAGGAAGAATTAGCAATGCAGTCGCCGAGATTCAAACTCCTGACCTCTCCCGATTGCTAGCCAGATGTGCTTTCCAATTACACCACGAATGCACGTGGTAAGGAATGAGAAAATGCCTTAAGTAGCATTTGTGACAATAGCTCAATGATTTGTGTTAAACAGTGTTACGTATTCGTTAAAATTATAATTTTAGATATATTCAAAGACGTATTTTTATAAATTAAAAATCCATTTTCGTGCTTTATTTGTATTTTTTCCCTTCTTTTTGAGAAAATAGAAAAATTTGTCGGATATATAAACTATATCTCTGTCGAAGTATCAAATCAATAAAAGGAATATTCTTGGAATAATTACTAAAAGTTCCCTTCTGGCTAATTGGTTAGGTAGATCTAATGTTGCCTTTATTAAGATATCTTAGAATCAAGTTATATAAGATTAATAAAACTGAGTTTGCAGTGCAAGCCAGGTGTAGTGTTAGAAAATCCGTCTATCGTATGTCGATCATAGATGAAGCATGTTACTTTCTTAGCAGAAATACCTGTGTGTCTTTTTGGGAATTTTTTTAATTTATGCTTATTTTCTCTCTCTCGTTATATATATTGGCTATATCTTTCTCTCTTTATATGTATATATATATATATAATTGTTTGCATTATGTCTTTCAACAGTTGTTTGAATACGTTTAATTTTTTTTCAGTTAAAGTGAAGGAGAGGAAGTGACGCGACCAACGTCCTGGAGGCCGCCATGAAGAAACGGCAGAAGCGGTGGTCTACGCCACCTCTTTTCATCCTTGCTGCAGTTGTTACGCTGCTTGTCATTCAGTGTGTTCCTTGTGCGTGTGAAACTTCATCATATCTGACGTTCGAAGACCCTGACATAGAGAAGTTTAACCATATGACGGTGCATGATTATACCGAGCGTGTCTACATTGGGGCAGTCAACCGTATCTACCAGTTGTCGAGGGACCTGAAGAAGGAAGCTGTTGCAGAGATGGGGCCCGTTGAGGACAGCCCGAAGTGCCCAGTCACTCGGGTTTGTCCGAACGAGCCCAAACGACCCACAGATTACTACAATAAGGCTCTCGTGGTGGACTACTCTCAAAGTAAACTGATCGCTTGCGGGAGTCTGTTCCAGGGCACCTGCACGGTCCATGACCTGAATGACGTCTCCATATATGAGACACCCGCAAGCGAATCCGTGGTGGCCAACAACGCCACTGCGTCGACGGTTGCCTTCATTGCACCTGGTCCTAAAAATTTACCACGCACTCATGTCCTCTATGTCGGGGTCTCGTACACGGGCAACGGACCTTACCGTTCGGATGTACCAGCTGTTAGCAGTAGAAGTTTGGACCCAAGTAACATGTTTGTGATAGCCCATAGTGGCGTGACGACTGGCACCAAGATCATGCTCAACAGCATGTCCAGAGAGATATATCCAATCACTTACATCTATGGATTTAGCAGCAAAGGATTCTCTTACTTCGTGACTGTGCAAAAAAAGGCCACGGATCCTCCGAGGCCGTTCATCTCGAAATTAGTCAGAGTGTGTCAGAGGGACGTCCAGTATTATTCTTATACCGAGGTGCCATTGATGTGCCGGTCCACCGATGGTACGGATTATAATTTGGCCCAAGCAGCGTATGTTGGTAAACCGGGCTCCGAACTAGCGAAATCGTTAGGAATTTCTGCCCAGGACAGTGTGCTTTTCGCCGTATTTGCGAAGTCGAAAGATGAGGCAGACATATATAACAAACCGAGCCCCAACTCAGCTCTGTGTGTTTATGCTTTATCAGTCGTGCACAGGAAGTTTACGCAAAATATTCAACACTGCTTCAATGGAAATGGTGAAAGGGGCCTGGACTTCATCAATCCTAGTCAACCCTGCTATCCCACGGTAAGTGAAATTTTTATGGTGTATTTACTGGCCTTGAATGTTCGTGGACTTTTTTTTTCCCTCCCGCTGTGCTGTACTTCGCAGGGATAACGACACATACGAAATAAACTTCCTGGGATTAAGGTGCATGCACATATTGTTGAACAAATATTTCTAGACCAGATGTTTTCTTACTTTCAGGAATAAATAGCGTATGTGGTCTAGCGGGTTGGTCTGTTTATGGGATATTGAGTTCCAACAGATTTTTTTCATACGCAAGATTAAAAAGTTGACTGTAATTAATTTCTTTAATGCAACTCTGGGCTTTAAAATCAACAATGGTATTTGATTTTTTAATTTCAGTTGCAAATATTATGAGGCTTTTCCTTATAAAATTAAAAAACTTAAACTATTAATATACTTAAAAATGTTTTATGTATTTAGTTAATTTTTTTCCTAAGTAAAAATAATATAATTTGTTCGTATATATAAATGTATATGTCGTATTTGTAGTAAAGTAATATCATTTTAAAAGTTAGTACAGATTTTCATTAGTGACTTTATTGTGATAGCTTTATTTAAAATTTAGTTACAGATATTAATAATGGTCAGTTATAGGCTATCTGAAGCACTATCTTCCGAAAGGTGAAAATTAGAAAACATGTTAGTCAGAAATCGGAATTAGAAGTAAAGTTGGTGTTCCGTACTTTATCGTTTGGCCGACGGAGCTTTTTCCGTCGCATTTTTGCCGTTATTTATTTACTATGTTAGATGTAAAATCTGGCAACAGGAAAATAATGTAAAAGTTTAGTTTTTGATAATTGGCAACTGGCATATTCCACGACTTGAAGAGTTCCTCCTTACAAAATGTAATCGCTGTAATAACTGTATCTATTTAAGTAATTAAACGCTATTGCTAATAAACGTATTTTTCATTTCCTATTACGTTAATTACGCACAGCTTATTTATTCATAAAATGAGATGACAGTAAAGGACATTTTTCAGTGTAGGATAACTGTATTTACAGAATGTTTTGAAGGCCTACAGTTTAGAAATTTCTCTAAGAATATTAAATAAATCGGAAGATTTATTGGGATCGAATGTTAATAAAAATAAAGAATTAGTAAATTTCCTGACATAGAGTAAATAAACGCGAATCGATTTTAAAATCATATAATTATTTCTAAGATCGTTAGCTTACGGTGTTTAACAATCGCTGTTAAAAATTGTCAGTTAATAGTTGCTGACACTTTACGACTACGAAACGTGATCCTTCTTTATGAGCGACATATTCAAAAACCAGACAATATGATTATGGTTGTCGTAAGAATGCATTCTCCTGTTACTATGTATTTTTTTCTGAAATCGTTAGAGGTAGCATAAAATCCGTAATGAGGTCGGTCTAAAATAAGTATTTAAAATAAATAAATGAAAGATAATATAAAATCTAAAAGCTTTCAGGTCTTAGATTACGCCAAAAGCGGCGTTTGTTTTTAACGTTTTTTATGTTACCTTTATTTATTAAATATCATGTTCTTCGTACTTAAACCATAAAATTCAGTTCAACAGCAATATCACAAATTATTTAAAAAGAGCATACCTTTAGAATTTCCCATACACAGTCTCGCACGATGGAGATGAAAAAAAATCCCCCCTCCCTCCATACAGTGTTGCCATTGTTCGCTTTGAAATCTTTGAGATTTTAATCAAAGATTCGTTAAAGTTTTAAAATATATGTAATGGATGATTAAAAAAAAACAAATTGGGAAATCAAGATTTGGTCTTACAGATGCCCATATTCAAGTGGAGGACCATGTTATTCAAAATTTGATGGCTCTAGGTACCGTTGTTTTTTCTCAGTGCGAGAAATACGCATGTATACATTAATGGAGATTCTTCAGTATTTAATTTCTTTAAATATTATGCAGGGCTCTAATATTTGGTGGCAACAATCTGAAAAGTGAAACGCCGCTTATAGTGAACCAACGCAAAATATCAAAGTGAAATAAATAGGCCTTCTGGGCAAATTGCACCTTTTATAAGTGTGTTGAATATTTCTAATTTTATTTTTTTATATGCTGATTTCCTTTCAAACATTCAACCCTGGTTAAGTATTCCTTTGCCATGCAGACTGCCAAAGACTCTTTCACTCTCTCACTCACATTATTCACATTTCTCCTTATGAAAATGAAATTAAAAAAAAAAAAAAAAAAAAACTATTTAAACTAATATCTTGAGTATCTGTTAGGTTCTTTCCGTTCTAAACCATAGTAATGTTGCGGGAATGGAATCCAAGAAAAATGAAGTAGGGTCTTTCAGTGCCTGGGGGGGGGGGTTGAAAGTTTTCTTTTCGTGTTCCATGGGCGATGGCCAAGGTCCATTGCTTTTTGTTCCCCTATCATCCAAGAGGGAGAGCCAGTCACCCCTGTTCTCTTCCGTGGTCATCTGTTATACACGTGACCCCAGACTTTGTCACGTACAAAATGTGATCAAATATCCAAAAACGGCGTATTTTTGGTGTAGAAAACAAATTAGGTGCGATCGGTCTGTTTCTCCTTATTTTTTCTCTTTTACGTGTACGTTTTCGTCCCCTCCTTAAAAATAAAACTCCACCGTCGCTAGAATTTTTTTTCGGAAAACCTTCTCAGTGAGTTTTTTTAAAGAACGAAGGATATGGAAGAATTCTTTTCCCTTCTTTCTTCCTGTTGAATTTGATGAAGTATAGCGTGGTCGCTGTTTTCCCCAAATTGTTTTTCTTTCACTTTTCATGCAATTGGATCCCAAATGTGCTGAAACATTTTAAAAAGAGTTTTTGAAGTTTGGATGGAATGTTTGTGGGACGATGCTTTTTTTGTGTTTTCTAAGGTACGTACAGCAGTATTTGACTGTTAGTTGTAATGAAAACATTCAAAATTTTTTACCAAGTTTGTAAAATTCTTTGTAAATTTTTCCAGCTTATTCCCCCCCTTTTTGTACTCTTTTGATAGAAGAGACGATTTCCTTGTTTTTAATAGAAATGCACATTATGTTTCATTTTTAATGTGAACTGATAACATTTTTCTTTCTGTCCCTCTGGATCAAAATGCAGAAACTCAAGGCCATGTGAAGAATAAAACCGGAGGTGGTTGTGGTGGGGGAAGGCAGACCTTAAGATTGGTGTCGATTTTATGCAAACTTTTAGCAATTTTCAGGTGTCCGACTCAGTAGCTCATTCCCAAGAATTTATTAACATAAATTGTGTGCTTCTCCTATCTGTTTGGTACGTCTCTTTCCTTTAAACATTAATTATGCTACTGAAGTTAAGTTCACTTCGATGCATGTGATTGCGTACGGCGTAAATGTAAATGAGAAAAAAAGTTATAAGTTACTTTCTCCTTCCTTTCTGCGCCCACCAGCGGCCGAGCGGTAAAGCCGCTGAACACTGGTAGTTCGGTCCGAAGTTCAAATCCCGCGAACGGGCTGGCTGCATGGGTGTTTTCGTGGTTTTTCCCATGTGTAACATGTATACGAGCCAGTTTCCCTTAGAAAGTCCTCCACGAAGGCATCCCTCCCTTTAGGATGATAGCCCTAGTGTGCTTTGCCATAATTAAATACACCACACCACACCACACCACCCTCCTTTCTGCATGCCTTCGTTGTGTAACGCTCCAAGCGTATTCGAGAGATCCAGGTTCCAATCCCGGCGAGTGCAATGCCGATTTCTTGAGTTTTCTGACATAAAAAAAAATGCCTAATAAATCTACAGTGGCGCCCGAACTGAAAGGTGGTGGATGATGATTTTACAACACCAGGATTTGGCAACAGAGTCCCCTCAGTATTTTCTCCCCCTTTTCTGTATGCCTTCGTGGTGCAACGGTAGCACACTCGGCGCGTATTCGAGTGGTCCAGGTTCGAGTCCCAGCGAAGGTATTGCTCATTTTTCACATCTCCTGCTTGGGAAAAAAACCTAATGTCTCTACAGAGTTTTGTTTTGAAAACGACGATTTTTGATTCCTATATGGAATTCTTGAATAGTCTAAGAATGGTTGGCTTACCTGAGCCGTTTTCATTCTTAGTTATGTGAATTGAAATTTTCCGGGAAACTAGGCAATCATCTTAAAATGGGGGGGGGGAAAGAAAGTCACCTTGAAACTAGACAGTTATTGGAATATAAGATTTCCCGTCATGTATAAGATTAATTTTTGTTTTGTATGTTATGAACATTGAAGACAAGAATGTACCCAAAACTTACTCCACTAGTGACCGAGTGATTGAAACCGCTGAATGCTGGAAGTTCAATTCCATATGAATACGCTGGCTTGCATGGTTGGTTTTCGTGCGTTTTCCCATTTGTACCGTATATACGAGTCAGTTTCTCTTTCAAAGTCCTCCACGAAGATATCCCTACCCGTAGGCAGATAACCCTTATGTGCTTTGCCGCAGCCAAATAACCATTACGTAAGTTATCTCCCCTTCTGAATGGCATCGTGATGATTTAACTCCAGTCCCCGTTAAACATTTTAACATTTTGCTTTCAAATTACTTCAAAACATCTTTCAAAATATAACTTACCAGTATGGATGCACACTTTTAAAATAATTCTACTTTAATTAAACTTAGGAGATAATATAATCAATTAATCAATATTGTTTAGGAAATAAATTATTATTAACTAACTTTGCAGCAATTGCGCAAGTAATAGTAACTTGTTTTCGCACTTAAATGAATTTAAGATCATACAACATTTGATATGCTAAATAGCAGCTATTAGCGCTATTTATCTCTCTTACCTAATGTACCCCCTTTATATATTACCTCCATCTTCTTTTTAATTTTTAAAGTTCTTATACTTATACAAAACTTTACTGTATTGAAGGTTAGCAGCCTCCTTACTTTTATATCTTGCTAGTTTAACCTCAATTGAAATCATTAAATGTCATTCCACTAGATGAACAAACTTGAAAATTTAAACGCCATGCCATGCCTGCTACAGGATAAACCCAAAAAACAATTTTTTATGAAAAACATTTAACTGTATTTA